TTAAAAAAAAAAAAAAAAAAAAAAAATTCTTTTACGCCAATCGGATATTAAAAGTATATAAACGCGTGTTAAAAGATCCATTTCATATTACTTGTGTGTATTTATTTTTTACTTTTTCCTACATTTTAAAACCATTTTTATTTATTTTCTTTCAAACGTCAAACTGTCAAAGATATTCGTGATTTAAAATAAAATTTTCTTTTATTATCTTTACTCGTCTAAAAAGAAGCCAAATGAGGGCCTTCCCCAATAAATTGTCTTTCTTCTTAAATTCTTAAAACTAGCCCTCTTTAAAAGGTAGAATAACTCGGATTCTTGTCCGCGAGAATGTTCTCAAATTTAAATGTTACGTTCTTTTATTCACTCTTTCTAACCCTAACCTTAATTCAAATCCTAACTCTAACAATAAATTCCTTCTTTCTTTATCCCATTCCACTCACTATCCTTAATCCTATCCCTAACTCTAAACCTAACTCCAAACCTAACTTTAATCCTAACTCTAACCTTAACTATAACCCTAACTATAACCCTGACTCTAACTCTAACCCTAACTCTAACCTTAACCTCAACCTATCCGATCTAATCCTAACCTTATTGCCCTCATCATACTTAGTATTGATGAATTAACTTTAACCTTAAAACCTTTAACCCTAAAAACTCCTGTAATAAGGTTAGATTATAAATATTTTGAAATTTATTTTATAATAAATCTTATAAATCTTGCAAATAATGCAAATAATATAATCAATATTATTATTATTTAGAAATTGATTTATTTGATTATTATAAAAAATTTCAATTTGCAACATAATTAGTTTACTTTAAAAAAAAATTCTTTATATATTGTTTTCCTTCTTAATGATTTATTAATGTTATTATAAACTTTTCAAAGTATTAAATTAAATAAATGCGATATAATTAGTTTACTTTAAAAAAAAAATTCTTTATATATTGTTTTCCTTCTTAATGATTTATTAATGTTATTATAAACTTTTCAAAGTATTAAATTAAATAAATGCGATATAATTAGTTTACTTTAAAAAAAAATTCTTTTATATTGTTATTTTTCTTAATAATTTATTAATGTCATTATAAATTTTTCAAAGTATTAAATTAAATAAGTCTATATCTGGTCCAATAACATTCAGAGGTATAAGTTTAACTGTCTATTAGTTTACTTTAAAAAAAAAAATCTTTTATATTGTATATGTTATTATAAGTTTTTTAAAATAAATGTAATATAATTAGTTTACTTTTAAAAAAAATCTTTTATATTATATATT